CAAATTGGGCTTCTCGCAAGAAGTTGGGAAGGCAAAAAACATGAGAAGCTCCATTTCTAGCTTCCCAAAATCTCTAAATATTAGATCCATTTTAGTAAATCATCCAATTACCATCAATTACTAGTCTAGGTTAATAGATAAATGTAGGTGCCATTTGGCAAGTTTTTTTTAGAAGATCTGATAGCTATAAAACATGGTGAGCTTTTTCATTAAGATCTTGAAAGCCCAAAGATCATTTGGTTGGAGTCATTATTCAAAAGACAAATTGAGTTTCTCGCGAGAAACTGGGAAGGAAAAAAAACATGAGAAGCTCCATTTCTAACTTCCCAAAATAATCCTGAATCAAACTTCTTGCGTCTTTTCAAGCCGTGGTCTTTTGATGGAAAGATCTTCCTCCAACAAAATGGAGCTTCTCATGGCATAATTGAGTCATTAATTGCCTGGCACTTAATGCGCCCAGACATAATTGAGAGGTGCATAAAAGGCATAAATGCCCTCTAAGAAATTTTAATATTACATGTTTTTGTGCTTCATGTAACTCGAACCAAACCCTCACTACGACCTAACAAAGCTCCACCGCCACCATTGCCGTTGCACTCTCTCTCTCTCTCTCTCTCGTATTCTTGCCACCGCCGCTGCAACTTGCAACAACAGCGGTTCCTTCTCTCTCGCTCACTCTCTCTTTCTCTTGTGTTCCTGTCATTGCCGCTACAAGTTGCAGCAGTGGCGGTTCTTTCTCTTTCTCGCTCTATCTCTCCCCTATCTTCTCATCACCGCTACTGCAAGTTGCAGTGGCGGTGGTTCCTTCTCTCCCTCTCTCTCTCTCTCTCTCTCTCTCTCTCTCTCCCCTGTCTTCCCACCACCACCGCTACAAGTTGCAGTGGCGACGGTTCCTTATCTCTCTCTCGCTCTCGCTTTCACTCACTCTCTCCCTCTCTCTCTTCTCGCTCTCTCTCTCTCTCTCTCTCTCTCTCTCCTATCTTCTTGCCACTACCACCACTGCTGCAACTTGCAGCAACGACTCAATGAGTAGAAAAAATATTATTATTATAAATTATAAATTATTAATTATTTCAATATTTTTATTAAACATTAATTTTTTTTATTAATTATTAATATTTAATATTTATTTTTATTAAACATTACTAATTATTAATTATTTTTATTAACTAGTAATTTTTAATTATTTCATTAATTTTTAAAAGTTATTTTAGTTTTTATTTGTGTAAATTATTAATTATTTTTTAATTTTAATTGTTTCATTTATTAATTAGTAATTATTAATTATTAATTTTTTATTTTTTATTTGTATTGTTTCGATGTTATTTTGAGGTTGAAAATTATTTATTATGAGATAATGCAAATTGAACTCAACATTTACAAATAGTATGTTCTAGGGGTAAAAGAGTAAAATCAATAAATTTCAGATGGTAAAGGGTTGATCCAACACAAACAAACTTATAGATTTAGAGTCTCTAAAAAATAGAAAAGCATCTATGCCTCTTTTCAGATTTCAAACACTTTTAATATCTTTTTAACTTTTTATATCTGAATTTTCAGATTTATCAAACGCCATCTTAAGATTAGGAAGAATTCAACCTTTTTTAACCCCAAAATTGAACCTAATCCATATTAAATGTGGGGAAAAAAATAAAGGCCATTTGGATATAGACCATATCTACCGCCAAGTCAAATGTTTGATAATAATGTGAAGGGTCATTTGATTAATCTAATGGTCAAAGTTGTTTGACCCTTAACCCTATAGGCTTTTTAAATTAGTAAATATTTCATTTCTAACAACAATAATAACTCCTTACATGATGGAATCTTATATGTCAAAATCAAAGCAGTTCTATTCATATAAATTTTACCTTGTTCTTTTCCGTGTGGAGCAATTTTCAACATATTTATATGGTATTTAACATCTGAGAACAAGCCTATGAGGAAATTCTTTCTTTCTCCAAATTTTAAGCTAATGCCACTTTTTTTTTTTATCAATTTTAGATATACTCTAAGACAAGTGAGCTGATAGGATTTATGAAGGATTATAATTAGAAAAAATTGATCCTTTTGGAGTTTTGTTTTTCTTTTTATCAACCATGTTTGCTTTTGAATAGAACTGCTTTTTCTATATTTGTACTTCTCTTTTGCCAAAAAAAATCTCTACTTTATAGCACTAAATTACATAATGAAATCTCCATGTTTCTTGCTTATCTCCCTCCTAACTAAATCTTCAGCTTGAGATGCAAAACTATTTGGGAATTCATATAGCTTCAATTTCCATTAGGTAATCATCCATAGACCAAATTTCCATGGAGAATTGTGCCAAGTTGGCAAACAACACTAAAACTTTGGTCAAGCTCTTATCATCATGGATGATGAAACCTACATATACCATGTGAACCTATGCGTTTTATTATAAGGTGTCCATATGTAAATTTATATATGCTTTTCTAGTATCTCAAGTCAATTCTTAGCAAAAGAAGTTTGACAATCTTCATTCAATATTTGAAAATTCTTGATCTAGCTAGTAAGCAATGCCAAACATGTGCTCCTAATTGTGAGATGCCAAGAGAAAGAAATCTTCAATATATTACTTTCCTAGTATTGCATACACCCACTTCAAATTGCATGCACATGATCTTCCTCAGCTTAGATAGAATAACAACTATCAAAGATTCATTCTTTATGTGTGGATAAGATGGGACACAAAATTCCTTAAAAACTTTCCCTCAATTTCATATTTCTCTTATTTTTTGTCAAACTAAAACTAGCCTAATGGAAAAATGAATCAATTATATTCCATAAAAATATCGTTCTCTATCGTTATGCACATACACACATTAGTGGTGAGGATGGTAAATCTCAAATTGGATCTACTAGCCACATTTGTTTTTTGTCATTGATGGGGTCATACTTGAGATTTGCCACTATAAATCATGTTCGGGGCTATGTGCATATTGATTGCTTGATACTCATTTTCTTATAATTTATAATTTATTATTTGAAAACGGGTTCAAATATGATATGGAAAAGATATGATATCTGAAAAACTTCTGACCAGTCAACTGGAATCATAAACATAGTCAATCAGGTATTATTTATCAAAATTCGTGGGTGGATTTTGATTGGTCAAAACTCTTCCTATACCATATTTTTTCCGCATCATACATTTTTCCTTTGAAAATATGTTTGTTAGGATGAATAATAACAGTTCGAACCGTTAAAATATCCCCTAACTTCCAATATTTTGCATTTTGATGGCGTTTGCTATTGATACGATATGCCACATATTAAACCTATCATATTAGATACTTTTACGGATAGCAAGTCCGGACTTGATAATTCTATAGCATGCATATAAGGTACTATTAGTATTTAGTCCTTACGAAGTCATTTATTTAGTAGGACACATACCACATGCATATTAAACCTATCATATTAGATACTTTTACTCTCCACCAAAAGTTGGTTTCRGACTTGCTTAGCGACACATACCACATGGAAAAAATATCAAACTACTAGAAAGAAAAAACGCGTATAATTAAGCATAAATAACACAGACCCAAAATGCATGAAATAGAAGATTGTAAAGTGTAAAAAGAAAAGGAGAAAAAAAAAACATTGAGAATTTGTCAAAAATCGAATTTCAAACTGTTAATTATATGTTGTTGGATGGTTTGATTGTCCACGTGGCAAAGTTGATAATTTATGGCCATTGGATAAAATTCCCATTAAAATCTCAAATTTCTAGTAAAAATCTAGGGGAGTCTATATTGAAGGCTTCTAATCAAATGGTGTTGTCTCTACCTTTTACCAACTATTGCATACCTCTTACCTACCAAGGAAAGAAAACAAAAATAGACAAAACCAGTAAAAGAAAATTATAAACAAGTTGGGCAGATTATTATTATTTTTTAAATAATAGAAAATATGATACCAAATCAATGTTGGTGATTAGAGGTTAGCCTACCTCACTTAGCATTCAAAATACCAATACATTCATAGTTTATTCCCATATATTCTGTCCCACTAGATACCAAATCAATGATGGGTATTAAATGCAAGAATAATGACATCAGAAGATGTATTTATGATGTCATTATTCCCACATCCAGCGGCCAAAACACCAAAGTACTATTATATTAACTTGCAACCAGGGACAGATGATAGTACAAAGGTCTTTGGTTAAAAAAAAAAGAGGTCATTGTGTTTGAATTGAATGGGAATCTTTTGCTCAATTCCCCACAAAAACAAGCAGTAAAAAATAAAGCAACAAACACACCCTCATGTGTCTCCAACTAGGCTCTCCGCCTTTTTATGTCCCACCTTTTAGAGATTGCTGCCTCCGTCTCATCAAGAAACAGCCCCACCCCTCAAGCTGATCTCAACCCTCCACTCCATGGCCCACCATCATTGATCAATGCAATCATGTGGTCCCACCATTTCAACGGTCAAATCTCCCCCCACACACACGCACGCCCACCAACCCACCTGCACCATAAAATAATAATCAAAACTAAGATCTAGAATAGAAGCATCACAGCCATCGAAAAAATGAAAAGAAAAATCAATAATTTAATCAAAAGGCGCGGACAATTCCTGGCATGTCAGGCGAACTACAGTTTACAACACCACATAAAAAACTCCCAAAAAGAATAGAACGCCAGAAAAAGTAATTATTTAATATTAACCAAGATTATCTCCTCAATACGAAACAGATTAAGCAGTGGCTCTCTCCGTAATTCCGGAAAAACGGAAGGGCATAAAAGGATTACGTCAGCACGACAGTCATAGCACTACGGCGTACCGAGTTGGCTTTTTTAACATCTGCTCTGACGGTCTGAACACCCCACCACACAGAACCAAAACCGAAAACCGACAAAAGAGAGGGATGGCAAGAATCGTAATTTTGTTGGAAAACCAGACCCTGATTCGGTGGGGCTTCGTCCTTCTGGTTTAAATAAAGCGCATTTTAGCACACTAGCATCTGAGAGCATCATATAATAAACCAGAAAGCGAAGCAAGCAACGAAGACGACCTCACCAGCTTCCAGAGAGAGAGAGAGAGAGAGAGAGAGAGGACGGAGATTTGGAGGTTCAAGTTTTGTTTGAAGAATTAATTATTTCGGATTTTTGAGATTTTAAATTCGTAATTTCCATTGTTGAGCTTCATGGATGAGATCATGGCGAGCTACATGATTAGAGCTCGTGGTATAGTGTAGGTTTGTGCAACCTACTCTGCAATTTCTTTTGGAGTTTGTCGCTTTCTCTCTCTATCTCTCTTTCTTGCTTGCTTTTATTTTTTTCTTCTCTTTCTTCGGTCCTCTTGCTGGAATGGGATGTCGGAAAATGATAGCCGGGAATTTGGAGCCGGCGAGGAAGCGGAATGGTGGTGTGAGGACGAAACAGGCGGGAAGAGGGTCGTGTCGTGGGAGTTAGGCCGGAATACAGCAGCCGGATTATGTACCAAGTCCGGCAGTGAGGTACTACTGTTGGTTGCTTTTCGTTGTTTGCGTTAGTTGGTTGTTTATATTAGAGGTTCCGATTTCGTCGCCGGAGAGATGGGGCTTTTGTTGAGAGAAGCTCTGAGGTTTCTCTGCGGCGTGAATAGATGGTCGTATGCGGTTTTCTGGAAGATCGGTTGCCGGAATCCGACGTAAGTTGAGCTGCATTCCATCTCTCTGTTTTGTTGATGTGAGTTTTGCTTTTTGTTTCCACTTTGATCAGTTAGGGTTTTTGAAAAAGCTGGCGTGTCTATTTGTTTGTTTTGCTTTCTTTGTGTTGTTAGATTGATTCATCTTTACGGTACCTTGACAAGTATGCTTTATTGATTACTGTCATTCTTTTTCTGCTATGTTATCTGATGCCTTTTTCTTTTTTTGGAATGTTATATGTGTTCTCTTTTGCCTTTGAGAATCCAAGTGGCGAAGGTGGATTTAGATGAATATGTTGTGCTTGCAGCTTGCAGCCCGAATAAATTTGTTTTCGTTCAGATAATACATCGATTTGGAGTATTGTGATTGATGTAGCATTCCTATTTGATTCTTGTAGTTGTCATTATCTGGTTTAAAATCTGAAAAGTTTCATTTTTCAGGTTCAAGGGATGAAGCTTTCAAATCCTATCCTATCTTTTTCTTTTCAATTTTTTTTTTCCTTTTTTAATTTTCTGAATATTCTCATCAGGAATGTTGTAAAGTGGTTGTGTATCATTTTATCAATGGATGGTAATGCTGTTTCTCCTAACACTCTTTCTTGCCATACTGTTTGGTGATCTATCTTGATTATCTAGCTAAACTTTATTGAAAGATTGTGAATGCGACATTTTCATAGATTAAATGACAGAAAAGGTTCTAGTTGTTAAGCATCCTATTCTTTTTTCTGTTGCCATTAAAATCGTTTAGTTTCCTTCTGCTTTCCCCCCTTAATGATGTATTTCTCAGTGAGCTTGAGGAAAAAAAGATTTTAATATTGCAGGCTTTTGGTTTGGGAAGAATGTTATTATGAACCTGCACGGTATTCCCCAGAAAGTCGCCTTTCTCAGCTTGGGTGTCAAGTGGATGAAGTCTGTTCTCTGGTTAACAAGATGACGATAAATAACCAGATCCATGTTGTAGGAGAAGGGTAAGTGCCCATTTCCATTTTTCTCCTGCTTTCCTTTCTAGAGCTTCATTACAGCAGTGTATTTAGTGCTTTTACTTGGTGGTGGGAAAGATGGATTCTTAATTAAAATCTCTGACATGTTTGTTGTGTTTCAGAATAGTTGGGAGGGCTGCTTTTACAGGAACACATCTATGGATTCTTCAGGGAAACTGCATTGGAGAAGGCCATCCATCAGAGGTACTACTTTAACTTCTTATAAGCGGTGGTTAAAGCATTTGCAAAATATTTTGAATTGACAAAAGATGGAAGTCAGCTAAGTAAAACATGGTCAGTGGTCAGCTAACTTTCTCAGTTTTCTTTAGAAAAAGATTCTATGTTTGAAATGGAAATTACTAAAAAATCTGGGTACTAGAGGTCTTCATGGACTTTTTAATGGAGTTATCATTTAGGATCCCACTACCTCTGTGGTGCTTCAGCAGACTATCCGAGTCACTTGCATAATAGCAACCAGAAAGTAGGTACAAAACTGGGCTAGAGGCATTGATGGAACATCTTCGACTGGCTTCTGGAAATGATACCTTTTGTCTGTAGTGTATTTGATTGGAGATCATGGGTAGTTTTGGGACGGTTGTACCCTTCGTATTTAGTACTAGAGCATATGCAAAGAACTTGAGTTGCATTCTCCACAATGAAAACTTGTGTCACACAAATAATTTTTCCAGACTGTTCAGTTAATGGACTACAACCTGGATCAGGCCTACTTGAAGAGCCAGACAAGACAAAGGATCCTAACCTATCAATATAGATCTAATGTTCAGACATATTGAAATTATAACTTAATTGTTGGCAGGGGAAGAAGTTTGTTTTATATGGTGTCATGTCGTTTTTTTGAGTTATCTCTACTTAGCATTGGTCCTCTTGTGAAAGCTAATACAGCTGGTTGGTAATTCTCCATAAAAATGTCTGTCTTGATAATTTGTATGATTATTTCTGAATTTGAAGATGGATATCATGTCAAATATCTTTCCTTGTGCTTTTAGGTTCTGGCTGAAGTGCACCACCAGTTTTTGGCTGGCATGCAGGTATTACTGATTCCTATGCCCCCCTTCTTTTCTTGTGCCTTTCTTTCCCCCACCTTTGCTCACTCTGAGATTTTTGTTCTAAATTTGCAGACAATTGCAGTCATTCCTGTACTTCCGCATGGAGTTGTTCAACTTGGTTCCACCAACGTGGTGAGTTCTTGTATTCATTTATTCAGTGTAAAACAAAAAACACAAATTTCCAGGACACTACAAACACTCTTCTTAATTACTGATAAAAACACTTATTTCCTACTGTTCTACTGAGGTTACTATTTCTCCTGCATATTTAGTAACAATGCAGTCTTACACATTGGTCTCACTATAATGTTTGTTGGAATTGTTGCATCAACATAAATAGTTCATAATGCATCACGTTCTTTTACCATCTGTGTGATGCTGTCTTACTGGTTCTGCAATCACCAATCAACAGAAAACCTTGAGTGCTTTGTAGCATGAACATTGACACTCATTGGTTGATCCTGGCTAGCTTTTTTACTTTCTTTTGCATGGCTACCAAGGATGTTGGAATATCTAGAAAATAAGAAAACCCCAAAATGTGTGTCCAAAGTTAAAATCATATGCTTGTCTAATGCAGTTCCTAGAAGTTATGGCTATCCTTTTTTGAATGCCCTTTCAAAGTCCAGTCTTATTGTGCATTGTTGATTAATGATATTTTGTCTCATTGCTGGGAAGAAAATACATGTTTTAGATGCATATTTTATGTTTCTGCATGGTTGTATTCTTAATTTTGATATCAATATCTTAGGGCAAGCAGAATCATCTGACAATTCTGGTGCATCTTTCGTTTTCTTTCATATGAAGCTAAAAAATCCATAACTCAATTGTTCTATGCTTCAATGAATCAGAACTTACATCTTTGTCTCTGTTGCTTCAGATAATGGAGGATGTGGGATTTGTGAACAGTGTGAAGAGTCTATTTCTCCAAATAGATGGTGTGCCTGGTTCTCTTTTATCTGATAACTATACAAAGCATGAACCTAGCCAGGATATTGGAGCTGTCACCTCTCTTGGAACGCATCTCTCGGCAGAATCAGATGCAAATTCATCTTCCAAAATAGAAGAGTTCATGCAACTTATCGGTGACAACTACAACAACCAACAAATTCCCATATTTCAGGCTTCAAGGCTTGTTGGTCAATCCACTCATTCTTTAAATACACAGGCTCAGGAAAACTTGCAAGCTAATACTTTGTCATCACAAACACCCCATAACATGACCCCAGCTATGACCAAACCTCATAGTGACCTCTTCCGGACAAATGTTCTTCCAGCATCAAAAGTAGATCTTCCTCTGAGAAGTCAAGCAGATGCAAGAGCCACAAGTGCCCAAGTTATCCTCTCCAATCAAGATGCCATGTTAAACCAGCAGTCTTCTGCGTACAACTCAAGATCTGGATTCAATCAAAAACCTATAGGTGATCAATCAGGTGTAACTAGTAATGGCTTAGCATTGATAGAGCAACAAATCCTGTCAGATGGTGGGTTACTGGAGCCTGAAAATAATGGTCTATCTGTGCCCCATGGCATGGATGCACGACTAGGATCAGATAGAGCTGTAGTCCTTAATTCTCTGAAGGATTCTGTTTTAGCCTCATTGCTTGGGGGATGTGAATTACCTAAAGCTGGAAATGTTCTTCAGACCCTAATTTCGGTTCCGTGTAGGTTGGCTGAGAGTAATTCCTCTCGTCCACCTCAAGAAGGGAATCGTCCTCAGTTTGTTAATTCGTCTAACAGTAGAGTTGTTTCAGTACCAAGCCAAGCAAATCTGTCACATAGTAGTGGAGTTCTTCCCAGTAGTTCCCATCATTACCATCTCACTTCTGATGATGAGCATAACAAGACTGAGTTTCCTGCAGGGCAACAGGGAGTAGACTTATTTCAAGCCCTTCATCTTCCATCTGTTCATCTTGAAAATTTTTCTAGATGTAGGCCTATGCCTGGTTTTATTGATGATTGTTCTACGAGTGGTCAGAAGCATGATACAGGAAATTCAATATCCCAAAGTGTTGTCTGTGAAGATACATGTGTTCTACCTGCTTTAGGGGAGGACTTATTTGATATCTTGGGTCTAGATTTTAAAAGCAAACAGGCATATGGTAGTTGGAATGATGGGCCAAATTCAAATAGACAGAGTTTCAATACAGATGCTTCTACATGCACAACTCAGCTAGATGCTAGGTCTAATTTTTATTCAATGAATGATGGTATCTTAGAGAGTGGAATTTTCTCTGAATCTGGAGCTGACCATCTGTTGGATGCTGTAGTATCAAAAGTTCATTCTTCTGCTAAGCAAAATTCAGATGATAATGCATCATGCAGGACAACATTGACAAAGATAAGTAGCTCTTCAGTTCCTACAGAATCTTTTACATACAGCCGGGTTGATCAGTCTGATCAGAGGAAAGTTGAGATGTTTGGTGTTCCTCCACCTCCTTCAAAACCAGAGATAGTGGGATCTAGCTCATTTAAATCTGGATGTAGTAAAGATAATGCTGGAGATTCTCAAGTTAATTCTTTCTATAGATCACCAATGAGTTTATGGGTTGAAGATGGCAATAATTTAAAGCGTGAAAATAGCTTTTCAAATGCACATTCTAAAAGACCTGATGAAGTGGGGAAACCAAATCGCAAAAGGCTTAGACCTGGGGAGAGCCCTAGACCGAGGCCTAAAGATCGTCAAATGATCCAAGACCGTGTGAAGGAGTTGAGGGAAATTGTACCAAATGGATCAAAGGTGTATATCGTTTTTTCCCCTTATTTTTAAATAAATGAGTTTTTCCCAACTTCATTCATGCTGCACTATGGTTCTTGCTGATATTAATGCTGTACTTTTGTCTTTTAATTTGGTTGAACAGTGTAGCATTGATGCTCTACTTGAACGCACAATCAAGCACATGCTTTTCTTGCAAAGTGTGACAAAGCATGCGGACAAGCTAAAGCAAACTGGGGAGTCCAAGGTGTGTACAGTATTTTATGATTATTTGCTAGATTTGTCATTTCCTAAGAAAAAGTTGTTATTTAATTTGTCTTAAAGCAGAAATTATTATGGTTGATGAGGCAAAACTTTGGCATTTATTGGACATTGGATGCATGCCTAGCATTGAAAGTCAAGTAAAAAGTCTTAAGAGGTGGTTTTCTTTGGGAACTAATATTATTTGGAGAGATTGAAGGTATCAACCATTAGTTATTCTATTATCAACACACTGTTCTAAATAAAATATAAAAAGGAAAAAAAAAAGAAATAGTGTCCTCAAAAATAGAGAAAATCTGCATTTTGAGCTTTCTAGGAGTAGAAGATACATGAGCATGAGGAATATGTACATATGATATTTTTATATACAAAAATGGCCTTTATTTCTAATTTAAGAAAAAATATGACAGTAATTTTTATGCTGAAACACAACCTACAATGTAAGTGGACTCTTGGTGTATATTGATGTGATCATAGTTTCTTCAGATGATGCCTGTCCTATTTGTGTATGATATATGCAACAACAATAATACCTTACTGGCAATAGTTAGAAGATAAGTCAGAATTCTGGGATGTGATATATTGTTCTTTCTTGAATTTACAGATAATCAACAAGGAGGGAGGATTGCTCTTGAAAGACAATTTTGAGGGAGGGGCAACATGGGCCTTTGAAGTTGGTTCACATTCTATGATCTGCCCAATCATTGTAGAGGACCTAAATCCACCTCGTCAAATGCTTGTGGAGGTAATGGTTATCATGCTGTCTTAGGAGATCTGGCATAGTGCCTTTTGATGTCTAAATTTGACAATTTGTGGCTGAAATTTTCCCKTTTTTCTCTATATCTCATTATTTTCTTTTCAGATGCTTTGTGAAGAACGGGGATTGTTTCTGGAGATTGCTGATATAATTAGAGGGTTAGGGCTGACCATTCTGAAGGGAGTAATGGAGGCCCGAAATGACAAGGTCTGGGCACGATTTGCAGTTGAGGTAAGATAATCTAGTAGCCTTGTCTTGAATGACACGCCCAATCTGCCAATCAATTTCTGCCATGTGAAGAAATCCTTTGGTCAATCAATTATCAAAAATATAAAAAAAGAAATCCTTTGGTCAATCCTATGCCTGACCTTGTAATATGGTTTGCCCATTACTAACCCTTTAATTTTTTTAATTATTCAGTATAAAGCATACCATACCTATATAGGCCAAATGAGGAATAAGATTTCTTCAACTTACTTTTTGCAGAACCGGGAGATGATCACGGTGCTGTAGTGAAATTGTAAACACCATAGGCCACAAATGTTGTCCAGTCTTTCTGAATAATTGTAATTAACATCTCATAGTTGAAGGTTGCATGTGTTAATATCCAAATGAACTCTTTTTATCTTTGACTTTTATTCTCCCTGCAAACACCATAGGCCACAAATTTGTACACTAGTCTCTCTGCAAGTTCTGGAAATTGTGGGTTGGTTATGTTCTGTCCTTCTGTGATTTCAAGTATGTGGTAGGCAGTAGTACCATGATACTTGCATCTGTCTAATAGGAAATATCTTGTTTCATATACAAGCATTGTAGCTCTCTTTAGGAAAAAGGCTTTTTTGATAAAACTTAGTTTCTAGAGTATCCAAATTCAATTTATGCTTTTAAGTTTTTGTACAATGTTTTCTTACAATAGTGCCCTCTAAGCCCATTATTTTATTCATAAGTGGGGGTACCTTTGTCTGTTGATGTGGGGATATTCCTTGTTCACAAGAGAAGGGTTGTGCTGAAAATCACACCTCGAAAGAATTCTGTTAGGCTCAGTTTGGAAGGAGTACAAATACAAATATGTACAGTACAAATACATATAAAATAATACAAAATACAAGGTTTTGCCCTCTGCATATTTGGATTTTTTCTCTTTCCAAACTGAGCCTTATGAAAACATATTCCAATCTATTCAATGAGGCCAGTCCCAAACTACAGTAGCCATTATCATGGTATAATGTCTTCTCCATCTTGTGCTAATTGTGTTTATATTATATTATTTCTGTACAGGCAAACAGGGATGTGACAAGGGTGGAAATATTTCTTTCGCTGGTGAGCTTGTTAGAGCAAACCGTGAAGAACGGTTCAATACCAGCCAAAGGCATTGACAATGGCACAATGATAGCACATAACAACTTCCACCAAGCTTCCATTCCAGCAACTGGTCGGGGGGATGGCTTGCAGTGAACTACCTCGTAATGGTTCTCTTGATTCCGGCGTGTTTCGAGCAGGCTTGAACTTGATGTTGGTCTGCCATGACTAGCATGAATTCCGGCATCTCAGGTGGTTCTAATACTGAGTTGTTAGACTGATTTTGCATTTTGTGAACCCGGCACTAACTGACCTCTAGGGGAGGAGTGGTTTAGGGTGGGTAAAGCTCCTCAACAGCGTGGATAGGGGCAAATTTGCCTTGCATGTTTTTAGGACCTAGAAACTAAAGCCATATTAGGTCTGGTATAAAGAAAAATATATCTGCAGGTTCTTGATAGCATAGCACAGTGACAGTGGCCAGTGGGTGCCCTTGTTTATCCAGAGATGAGATAATAGAACAAGGCGGTTGTTTTCTTTTCTTTTTGGGGGAAAAAGTCTGCTTAGATAGTAGTCCCCCACTCGCCGAACTTGGGGGTACGGATGCAGTGGCTCTGACTATTGTAGTTTTTTGGTTAGTCTCCTTTGTTGTAGCTGCTTGTTAAATGTAAATTAAGGGTGGGAAATGAAAATTAAAGGGCTGAGGTGTATATTTTATCAAGCCTCTGCTTTAGGGATCTTTTCTTAGATTAGCTTTTTAATCTCTCTTTCTCTCTCTCCGAGCCAAATGCTAGTGTTTTGTATCCTCAACTATGGTTTTTGGGTTGCCCAGCACAACACAGCTGAAATCCCGATAATTAATTATTCCCGATACTTGAAGGGAATTTGCATACCGGGTTCTTACATATTGATACCGTGATACTCGTTAATTCATAATACGAGTTCAGCAGGGATGATAGAAATATATATAGTTGATCATTGTTGCTGTTACTATTGGCCATTGCTAGTGTTATTACTCCTAAGGTTTCTCCCATCTTCATCTACTTAGCTGTGGTAATCTAACATCATGACATGGGTTTCTGCTCTCATGTGGTTTTAAATATTAGGACCTACTTGATTCACACCATCAGATCGAGGTTTGAAGTATTGGAAAGGAAATTTTAAAAGATATGCTTTGGATGTGCATGGACAAATTAAGATAGAGGTGGACATGTTTAGGAAAACTCTAATATTATAAATATTAAAAAATGCATAATAACATTAAATATAAACAAGGTTTTAAAGTATTAATAAAAAGAGTTTTAGGAAAACTCTTATCCTTGGTGTTCTATTACTTTATTTGTTGCAGTGAGAATGGCAGAAGCACTATGAATCAGGGAGTGTTGATACTCTGGGGATGGGTGGATAAATGAAAGCCCCAAATTCCCAGTATAGAAACTTTGAACCGCATGTGTTAATAGTTAATGTACAGTGCGAATTATCTAGACAAGTGCTAATTAAGAACTAAAATACTGAAATGTATTATCTTCTCATAAAACCTATATAATTTGTGTCAATATTTATAAATGTATATTTTTTTTAAGCCTAATGGCACGCACAGAACAAAAAAAGATTACATGCATCTCTTCCTCCACAACAGATTTAATGAAATCGGGAACCAATGACCAAGTCGTGGAGAAGCCTTGCCTGAGAGCAAAGTAAGCTAGCCCATGGGCAGACCTGTTACCAGCACGAGATGTAAAGTTGAGCTCTAACGAGGAAAAGGAGGAGATTAACCTTCTGCAGTCTTGAATTGCAGATAGAATTCTCCAAGGAGGATCTGATCTGAAAGGAAGAGAATCAATGATATGTTTGGCATCCCCCTCAAGAATAACAGAATCCATATCCATAGATTAAGCTAAAACTAAAGCCTCAATAGTGCGGCCTTAGCTTCGGATTCCCCAGGGGATGAACAAAACGTAGTCAGAGCTCTTCCAACGATGAAAGGTCCAGCATGATTCCGAATGATAATGCCAATAACAGCCTTCTGGGGAGCCTAAGCACCACCAAAATTAATTTTCAGAAAATGAAAATGGAGACTTTAGCCATCTTGAAACAACATCGGGCCTAAATTCAGTGGGGCAACAATGTCGGTGACAGAATTTTGAATCTGTGAGATATTTGAGAGGTGGGAGCTAACACCAGAGAGAACATGGTGAGAGAAAGTCTTGTTCTCTAAATAAACTTTATTTCTCATTTTCCAGATGTGATGATGTCTCTTACGAGGAAAGAATCAGTGGCATTGATGTTTCGCAAATTCACATCCAGGTGGCACCACTCCTGCAACTAAAATGTGAGTCCCACCCGATGACCGAAATCTGGGCGAAACCCCAACGATGCAAAGCCAAGTTAGGGCACCGAAAGAAAGGATGATCCAAAGTTTCTGCATCAAGATTACATAACTTACATGTAGGATCAATGTAAATGGATTTCTTGCACTCACGCCATTAAAAAGGTATTTAACATTAAAATCAATAATTTTTAGTTCAGGTTCAACCTTGTGGTTAAATGCCCAAAAATTCCTTTAGGACAAGTATTTACTTCAGACTCAATGGTTTCAGTACATCAGATTCAATGGCTTAGAACAACTTTGTTGTTCAGTCAAAGATTCACATGAATACCGTAAACCGTGGTTTCATTACATCAGATTCAATGAATAGGACACGTGTTTAATTCAGATTTGGCTATTTAAATTTCCTTCAAATATGAATTTTAAAGAAATGTTTATTTGTGATAATACTTACAAGGCTTGAGTATAGTCGGCATTAAGAAAATAGGAGTTGGATGGCATTCTTTGATTTTTTTTTTTCTAATTCCCCTACCATAACAATCATAAGATTTGTTTGGCTGTCTGTGTGTAAGCACTGTATAAAGCAAGTAGTTCTACAAAATACAAATAGAAAACTCTTGGCTGGTTTTGCTTTCCAACTATCACATGCACGGCACAAAACAAACGAGGTTTTTTTGCATAAATGCAAGGTTCCAAGTAAGGATACCAAACAACTTTTATTTATTGGTTTTTCAGGCTGAGGTGTACAATAAACCCCTAAATCCTGATACATTAGACCCATTCCATCATTTTATTCCTTCATATTGGACCAGTACAGTTTGGTTTTTATAAACTTATTAAACTTTCATACATTAGATATTGAATACTCACATATATTAACTTACAAGAACAAATTCAACACTCAAGTGTGTTATAGATGCATTCTACATACTGTTCAAAACTTCTAATAATCAGTTGGACAACCTCGATAACCTACTCTGTTGTCTTTGCTGTCCTAATAATCACAACCTATAAGAAAAAGGAAGCACTATATTATATTTGTAATTATTAATGTCTTTTTTTTTAGCCAACTCAAATTTCTTTGCAAACATGAAGTTAAATCTTAGTTCTTATTGTATAATAAATTATTTGGTTCAAACATGGTTAATTATTGTTGTAGCTTTCACAAATCTAATAATTGGGAACTAAAATATTAATTTATTATAATTGCATTTTTATTTGATTTGAAATGAATATAGTTCCATAAATTATGTTCATAAATGCCTTTTTCTATTTGACTTCAAATGCTTTATTATGGAATTTTGAGAAAAGAAGTAGCTTAGATATGAAAAAATATATTTAATTTTGGGTGTTTGAAAATTTTTAGAATGTTGAAATAATCTTAAAAAAAAAAACGTTATATGTCAAGTTAAAACTGATGTGTTTCTATGTTGTTGGATAGTCCATTTTTATCAAAATTCAATAGTATTCTAACCTAAAATCAGCACAAATTCTTATTGTTATATCACTTAACAAGTTAATTCTTATTAGAGAAATTTTCATAACAAGGTTTCCTTTTGTATAGGAATATCATCATCTCTTATCCATGATCACAATATATTATCAACAAATATTCCCTCTACCTTTATAGGACCCTCACTCTCTCATTTTGTGTTTGGTTTTTCCCCTATCATCATGGTTGATACTATTGACGACTCCTCTCGAAACAAGGCCAGTCAAACAACAAATAATACAAGAAATCCCATTAACACTCCTACCATAGATGATACTCAGGCTAGATCAGAGAGTCCTATTGAAAAAGATGGTCTAATACCAAAGTTAAAAAGACAAAAAACTTCACCTGTGTGGTTGGAATTCATAAAAATTTAACTTACCAATGGAACAAAGAAGGCTCAATGTGTCTATTGTAAGGTTAAATTGTCTATACAATCTTTTGGTGCGACAAGTCATTTTAGTTGACATTTGAAATCATGTATACCAAGAAAAGTGGCTAAGAATGTTGAGAAGCAAAGTAAGCAACAAATAACTTTGAATTTCTAACTAGTAGATTCAAATGTGGATGTGGATATGCTGCATTGTTTTTTTGTTATTCATTATCTCAATGAGATAGTTTAGATTTATTGTAGCCTAATGAATTCTATTTACCAAGGGACAACATGTCTTAATCAGATTTCCTCTTTATTTTTCCTTATTCTTTAAACCTGAAATGCAAACTTCTCCAAATTTATAATAAATTTGAAAAGGTTTCAGCCGTAGACAAGGAGTTTATTAGTGTTGATGGAGGGTGATTTGCCCCAACCTCATCATAGGGGGATATGTGGGCGTGACTCAACATAAGTGACAGCTCAGCGCGACCAGTCAACCAAGGTCCAGCGTGGCAGCTCGGCACCAGGAGACACTCCGATTATCCCAAGCTCCTCCCAAGTAAAGGAGAGCTCCTCCACAGTAAGGAGCCGCGAGCTCCTCCTCAAGAAGGGAACACCCCAAGCTAAGATTCTTCCACAGACATCCCAGGTCAGGGTACTGCAAGACAGGGATCTCCCGAGCTCAGGGCACTTCGGGGTGAGCTCGGGAGCCTCTTAATAAATTTGTTTTGACAGGCCTAAGTAGGCCGCCTCGGGTAGAATAACCTTAGTATGGCACCTCCAGCTCGGTCTAGGGTAGCTCGGTGCAAGGTAGCTCGCAGGAAGATAGCTCGGCGTATCACAGGAAGATCTCCCCTGACAAACCGTACCTGCCAAACCTGGAGCCCTGCACCCACGTCTCTCGCCAGGCGACGTCGTGCTTGCCAAACCTAAGAGGTGTCCCCCGCTTGACAGAGCCGTACCTTGCAACAGTGACCTGCGCAGCCCTCGCAAGTAACGACTGYGGCAGAGAATCAGAGGCGGTTATGTCAAATTTTATAGGACACCATTATATAAGAATTCCAACCCCCAGAGAAAAAAGGTAATTGATTTCGCGCTATCTACACTCTTAGCTCTCCTTGTATTCTCTGCAATTCTCTCTCAGAGTTCTAACTTGATCGTCGGAGTGTTCCCGCTGGGCGAGCTCCCCGGGAACCCTTCACTGTCTTCTCCATCTTAGGTGCTGTCCTTCGCCAAGTAGGAACCAGGCCACCGTCTATGAGAACCGCTTCAAAAAAGCCTTCCACCAAAACTTTGCAAACTTCAGTTCTCATGGCTTCCTCCAGCAATGCATGACATAGTGCAGAAATGAACACAGCCGGGGAGCAACTCCAGGTCCCAGCGGTGTGTATTGGACAGTTCACCATCCCCCTCTCCGCGGATGGAGTTCCCATTCTGAACATGCCTCAGACAATGGCACCCGTGAATGCTCCATTCCCTTTWATGGTTGGAACAACCTTCACCGAACCCTCCCTTGTTCCTCCCATGACCGCCCAAAACTAGCTTGAAGACCTGGTGCAATGCATGCGAGCCATGCAAACTCAGATGCAACAGATCCAGCAGTTCCAACTATATCAGCAACAAGTGCTGCATCAAGTTTCTCAGCATCACTATCAATAGCAGTTTCCTCCGCTGCCTCAGACCCAGCAGCTGCTTCCT